AATGACGTTAGTGCCAGACTGACGTTAAATGGACAGATGAAGACAAAAGGCATCCAAAAGTGAAGCTATGGGGGGGCGAGTGGAATTTCACGCCACCTCACCATGTAAACCGGGGTATCTGGCTGTCATTATTTACGAACCTCGTAGTTAGCACGCCACACACATCCACGTCCCGGTTATAACCCTCACTTAAGTAGGACATGTGTAAAATCAAGCAGTGGCTTTCAGAAAATAGTTGTAAAATTGCAAAATGGCATGGAGGATAATGGTTCATGGGAAAAAAAGAGGATGACAGTATCCTTGTTCTCTTGGAAGAACAAATCTCGAACTGATTTACAATGACGAAAGTTAGTGACAGTCATGTGACTGCAAAAGCTCAATGGCCCAAACGACGGGGAAAGGCATGATCTCGCGCAATGAAGGCCTCAAGGCATGTCTCGAACAAAACATTCGAAATCGAGATGGTGGTAACAGAATGGTGTGCGTTCGGAACAAGAGACTAAATTTTATTTTGTTTCTTCCTCACCAGCTTGTTTGAGGCTCATAGTGATTTTCACAGAGGCATAGGCAAGCAAGGCTAGAGAAGCTCCCTGGCCGTATATTCGCCAACGCATCATTCTCTGCATAAGTGTCGCATCGGTGGTCCTCATGTGGCGAGCGCCATTAGCGAGAACGACGCCAGTAAACAAAATCCCGGCTGGAAGAAGTGGATTTTCGATCATCAACTGCTTGAACCTGGACCATCGGGTCTCGACCTTCAGTTCAGCCCCATGATCTGACGCCATCGCCGGAAGTTTGTAGTAAACGTTGGTGCGCGCCAAAGGTTTATATAGGGTTTTGAGAACAATTCAAATTGATTTGGAGTTCAAGTAGCTCAACATTTTATAATTGGAATCCTGGAATTAAACCCGGAGCACGGACATTTCTAGCACTCCCTGCCATTCTGAAAAAATGGCCACACGCGCACCCAAGCTACGTTTAAAAGGGCGTTAAAGTGAACCTGAGGAGTAGGGTACCTATGAGACGGTAAAACCCTAACAGCAACAAAGTTAGAACAAGGGCGCCGTACTAAAACAGATAGATGGATAAGAATGAAAATTATAAAATATGAAAGGGGATGGCAGACTACGGCTTACTGGCCGCAAGAGTTGAGAGCGACAAGCATGATAGGTGGTCAGGAAAGGAAAACGAGCATGTAACACGAAATACTTCAAACGGCACATCACGTAGGTTTGTTAAATGATGGCATGCACATTAAAATGCATAGCTCAAGTTATTCGCGTTTGGTAAATAAATCACACTGTGGAGTCTGGCTGGAATCCTTCCCTCACCCAAGCGGACCCAGATCGTGACTTAAAAACGTCCCCATGACCCCTGTAAGATATTTTGGAAAACGAAGCCCAAGCAGCGCTTCTGTTAGAAAGCAGAACGACCTAACGTAACTCGCATAAGGAAGTGTTTTTTCAGGCAGACTACAAACTGGATGAAAGACTGAAAATGAAAGAACTGAGGTCAGAATTGAAGGAGAGAATTGGCTGAGGAGAGAAAGGGCTGAAGATCGTATTTTGTAAAAAAAACCTTTGTAATTAATCCTTTCCCGACTATCTCTTTCTTGTTTTCGTAGTAAAATAACAGCATTAGTTGCTATTTGGTGCGTTGTTCTGTACGTTAGCTACATTTTGCTCCTTGTATTGTAACAAAAAACTTATCCTGTCTGCACTGTCCCGCAGAGTACATGCAAAACGACGAATGCTTGCTGCCTCTCCACTGTCTCCGGGTGCTAGAATCGCCACCAAAGACATAGCAATTGCCAGCATATGTTCTTCGCCTTCTGCAGATAAGGTTAACTCTTAAATCCCTTTAGTACATGCAGAACCTCTTGACCCTTCAATCGTCCAAAAATACGCTTCTGTTAGTCGTAGCAGGCCATCAGCCGACGAGATACTCGATCCGTTGTTAAATGGCGACATAAACAGCACTTCTGAAAAAGCAATTGACCAAGCTTTTAAACTTATTGGGGTAATAAGTTCTGAAAGTGAGGAGAGAATTAAATGCAAACATAATTTTGTACTGCGAAACATTCCGAGCCACTTATCTGCTATGGAGGGAGCGCATTTGCTCCTACAAAGTTGTGGCTTGAGTTTCAGTGTCGCAGAAGCTAAACGACTGCGCTCACTTAGCCGTAATGCGCCGATCCTAGTTACCCTTTTCTCCATGCTAGAAGTCGATTTTATCTTGTTGAGGAGGAAGATAACTAGAGAATTCTGCCGTAAATGTCTCTGCTCCGTTTTGCCAGACCTCACACCGCTGCAGCGAAGACTGAATAAATTAAAATCGGCAAAAACCAACACCAGGATAATGACACCTACTGTCAGTTTGAATAAGTCCTTTACATCACCATCTGAGGCCTCTACACGTCACGACATAGTTAATTCCGTAAGGAATTCGACTGCTACTGATGCTGAGATCTTAGAAGCAACAACACGCCTGGTATACAAACGCCCCTTACGACTCCCACAGCAACCCCTAGTAAGCTTAAGCATGTGCCCAAGTCAAAAGCGAATCCAATTGCTGTCTCAGCCACTCGGACACCCGATAAATCCAGTACCATTCTAAAATGTTTTCCTCCACAATCGGCCAATAGTGCCTCAAATACTCCGACTCAATACGTAGCGTGTTCCCAACTGCCCCCAAGCCCAAATATCGAGACAGTTAGGCCGAATATGCCGATTTTCCCGCCGTTTTATAGAACTCTTGCTCCAATGAAAGCAATGTGTTCCCCACCCCCTAACTTGTTTTCACCAAGGCCGTTTTACCAATGTATTCTTCATGCTAGTTTTCATACTGGATCAGTTAACTCATCCGATCCTCAGTTTTGCTCCGGCGGGAATGTGTTGCAGTATCTGGCCCGCGGATTTCCAGCCGAAAATGAGTTAGCTATCAATGGTTACCAGTCTATCTGCCCGTCATTTCCTCCCCCAAGTCCTAACATTTTTTATCCACGTCAGAATTTTTTGATGCCACAAAATCCTTTGCAGAACCGGATGGTTACATTCGGACCGTTTGCTCCGTGGAAGACCAGCACTGGGCGATGTTGCCTACCTCCCTCAGAAACAAACAGCCTTTCCCTTAAAACTTCTTGTTTTAAATGCCAGATCTTTAATTAATAAGATTCCTTTGCTTCAGACTTTGGTGTTCGTCCATTGTCCGGATATTGTTTAAGTAATTCAGACATGGGCAACAGCCTCCGTAGCTGACTCCGAACTCTCTCTTCTAGGCTATAATTGCATTTAAAATGATCGCCAAGATAGCCGTGGTGGGGGCACCTGCGTCTACGTTAAGTAAACGCTTACATTTTTGCCGCTTGACCTCTCGCACTTTTCCGCAGTAGAAGGTACCTGCTGGCTCAAGGTTGCTCTAAAAAATCAGTTCTTCTTACTCGTTGGCTGTGTTTATCGCCCTCTCAACGCCAACGAATATTTTCACCGTTTACTCTCATAGGCATTTCATGCTTCGACCGACTCAAGCTTTAACTACCAATTGGCTGCGGGCGACTTTATCTTCCTGAAGTTCGCTGGTCTCCGCCTTCAGGCCCCAGAAAGTTCGAAGACTTTCCTGAGGCTGTGGATGTTGGAATGTGGACGCAGGTTGTCGATTTTCCCACCCGAGGCTCAAGCATACTTGACCTAATTTTTTGTAGAGGCTGCATGCCATTGTCAGTGCTATCCCTAGGCCGACTGGGGGGCTCAGACCATGACATAGTTGTTGCAACGTTGGAATTCGAGGCTGAAAAAACGTTGTCTCCAAAGTATAACTTTTTCCGCGACTTCCGATCAACTCGCTTAAACGAATTATTAAAATACCTTAATTCGTACGACTGGACTGATTTATTCCTTAGTTCGTATGTAAACGTTTGCACTGCAAATCTGTACGAAATTTTGGATCCGCTTATTCCTCGTTTTGTCCACCTTAAGAAAATTATTAAGGTTGGGGATGAAGTTTTCCTACCCTTACCCTTTCGTCGCAGATTGCACAGGCTTTATCGTCGTTTCTATCTTCAGAACGACGTTTCTGTTCTGCCCTTGATTTGTGATATTTTTGATTGAGCTTAGAAATTGTCTGAAGAAAGACAGCTAACGAGGAGATGCAGTTTACTGAAAACCATTCGTTAAATGTCTCGAAACTTTTCTCTAGAAAAATACGAACTCACCGAAAGACGCAGCATCCCAACCTCCGAGACGCTCTCGGAAATGCCATAGTTGATGCCCAGTTAACCACTGAGAGCTTTAATTTAATTTGATAATTTTTATTAAAGACCCAACGGGGTCCCATCAAAGCAAGTAAAAATAAATCTACATGCAACTCTAAGACGAGGTAGTCAAAATCTGTGCAAAGTGCATTACATAGTTTTTGAGATTAGAAGTCTGTTAAGAAAAATGATAAGCGAGTGGTGAAAAAAATTCCATTTGAAAATTTAAAATGATTGGATTAATTTTACAGGAGAAAAAAATCTCGCAAAAATAGAATCAGAAAGACGCGGGCAGGACTGGCCTGCATGTGGCGGTATAGAATGGATTATAGTCGGACATCAATTTCCAATTTTTCAGTTCATGCATCGTGCCCTCACAGAATGCGCATCATCGATGCTCTTGGCGAAACCTTCTGTATTCGCCATATATCAGTAGTCTGGTCGCATCTCCCCTACTCCATCTTCGGTTGGACTCGGATGAATGTAACCGACCTCATCTGGGTTCCTATCGCCTCGAGACTGGTTGTCATCGTGCCCTTACAGAATGCGCTCCATCGACGATCTTGACGAAGCCTTCTATATTCGCCATATACTAGTAGTCTGGTCAATCTCCCTTCCCCCATGCTCGGATGGATTCGGTTGAATGCAACCGACCGCATCTGGGCTCCTATTAGCTTGAGGCTGGCCACATACAGGCCAGTCCTGACCGACCCGCCTACGTACCATTTTATGAAATCCGTTATACAATGCCATGGCGAGACCCCAAGATACGGCTTTGGCCCGATTCTATGGCCTCCCTAAGGTGCACAAAGACGGCGCTCCTCTCCGACCCATCGTGTCGCTCAAAGGTACTCCAACGTACGGACTGGCTAAGTGGCTGTTCCGGCGTCTCAAGTTCCTGACCGCTGAGTCAGACACCACGGTCTCTTCGTCAGCAGAATTCCTGGAGAAACTCAAAGGGGTAAGCCTCCATCCAAATGAGGTCATGGTATCTTTTGATGTTACATCCCTTTTTACTTCTATTCCCCAGGACCTGGCGATCGAGACAATCGAGCTGCTTCTGCAAAGCAAATACGATGAAACGGAGAATCGTCTTGGACGCGCCCAAGTCCTTCAGCTGCTGAAGTTCTGTCTCAGGACGTACTTCACGTTCGACGGGACAATCTACGAACAGGTGAAGGGCACACCAATGGGTTCGCCGATTTCGGGATTCATCGCCGAGGCGGTCCTGCAACGGTTGGAGTCGCTGGTCTTCTAACACCACAAACCGACGTTCTGGGCCCGGTATGTGGATGATACCTTCGTCGTTATCGATCGGGATCAACTGCTGACATTCAAGGAACGTCTGAATGCGGTCTTCCCGGACATACAATTTACGATGGAGGAGGAAGAGAACAACCAGCTGGCCTTCCTGGATGTCCTCGTATGCCGCAAGGATTGTGGTGGACTAAAGACCAAAGTGTTCAGGAAAGCGACAAATACGATGCAAGTACTGAACTTCAACAGTAACCACCCAATCAGCCACAAACGCAGTTGTGTAAGGACGCTCTTTCGGCGTGTCGAAACGCACTGCAGTAAGCCAGAAGACAAAATTGCTGAACTACAATACCTCCGACGGGTATTCAAAGCCAATGGCTACCCGAGCAACTTTGTCAACCGGTGCATACGCAAAATGGACGAAAGGCCTAACCGCAGGGACACCAAAGTTTGGCGAGCACTTCCATATGTCAAGAACGTGTCGGAAGCTGTTGGCCGCCTTCTCGCACCGCTGGGGGTTGGAGTTGCACACAGGCCAGAGGCAACCATCAGGCGTCAACTGATGAAACCAAAAGACCCACTGCCACGGCAAGAAACGTCTGGAGTCGTTTATCGGATCTGGTGCAGTTGCGGACAAAGCAACTACGTCGGAGAAACCGGAAGACAGCTCCGAACGCGAATGGACGAACATGCCATCGCCCGTTTGTGCACAACCGTTCAAAATCCTTAGACACGAGATAAGTTGAAATTCATTTATAACTGAAATATTTGACATATTTCTCTGTCGATTTTGCGTCGATTTTTATTAGCTGTCGAAAATAACACATAAATCCATTACACTCTCCCCATTTAACCATGACTGATGTTACGTTTGCTGTCGACAAAGTAGATCTTTCGGCCATCGTCCGTTTACAGAAGTTCATCGAGAAACATGAACATATTTTTACGATTCTCGATTCACTAACAGACTCAAATAGATTCACGAACAACCTAACGAGCCTACCACAAATTGAATCGATTATACACTTAGTTTCGTCAGAAGTCGCGGATAGATCGAAACGCAGACTCAATTTAATTATCCGTAATATACCCCACACTGTTAATCCGATGCCATCAATTCAAAATTTTATACATTCGTGTGGCTTAAATATCAGAGTAGCTAACACTAAAAGACTTCACTCCAGAAGCAAAAACAAACCCGTCTTAGTAACATTCTACTCACAGGCGGAAGCTGAGATTGTCCTACAAAATCCCGAAGTAAACAGAAATCTGCGGAACCTAAACTCGTTTATAGGTCCAGATTTGACACCTATGCAAAGACGTAAACTACGGGAAAAAGACACCAGCTACAAATACGATAATCAGCACTCCGGTCCCTCAACTGAACCTTTAGCCACTACTTCTACTTCTAGCACTAATAAAAAGAAATACACAGGCCAGCGTAAACCAAATGATA